ATCTATTCCTATTTTGGTGTCTGCTTCGCTGAGGACATGTTCTGGGAAATCAGGAGGTAAAATGGGGATCTGGAGCCAGATCACTCATTACTTGGCAGGCTCACGGGACACCATGCATGCTGGTAGGTGGGGCACAGACGCAGACGCGTCCTAGAGGAAGGCTTCAGCTGCTTAGAGATTTCACCAGTGGTAATCTGGGGAAAACACCTTTGGAAGAGAGGCTGCTGATCACTGCTGTGCTGCGTGACTACCTGCAGACAGAGAGTGGGAGACTGGAGGACAGCAACATGACTGGCTCATGGAAGGCTAGCGGGTATCTTTTACAGCTCTGAATGAAGCCCTTATCTCTGACTGTGGAAGAGCCAATATAGATGAGCAGCAGGCTAATGATCTAACTCCTAGATCAGCTCATTCACTCAGCTTCCAAAGATGACAGACGCTCAGCCAAAGCAGTTGTCTGATGCAAAGACAAGGGCCGTGGTTGGAAAAACCTGAGCCCTTGAATTACGGGACAGGAATATCTAGAATGGAACACCTAGATGGATGCTTCTGAGCAGGTTGGATCTACAACTCCCTTCTCTAGTAAGAGAGCCAACAGACGCTCCCCTAACAAGCTGCCACTGCCTCCTCTCTCGGTTGCCATTCTGGTAACGACTATCATTAAACCAGCATAGTCCACATTGTCCTAATAAGAAAGGAAAGAAATTACTACTTGAAAGAGCTGCAAGAATTAGCTAGCATGGGCTGGCAGGAGGCAGAGGAGTATGACCACAGTTGGATTTTAGTGGTATTTGATCAGGGTAGAAGGAATGTAAGACTGGAAAAGCGAGAATGCATGAATATCAGTGTATATTCTCAGGACCACAGGAGATGCAGCGCCCTAATGAGGACTCCAGGGGATGGGCAAGCCTGTTGCTGGAGTGGCTCTTAGGAGCCTGGAAAAAGCAGTGGCCAATGCACAGTGAGGTGGAAATGCCTGAGTTGCCCTAGCACATGAAAGAAAATGGAATAAAGAAGCTGACAGAGGCAATATGCTGTAATGGAGCTGTAGAGATTATTTAAAATGCAAGGTATCCCAAGGGGCAAAATAGGTAGGCACATCTAGTTTTATTTTAAGTAAGAATGAAGGAATGGGGGGCTGAGGGTGGTTGCCCCAATGGAAAATCATGATCCTCTGCTTATGAGTCTGTTTCTATTTTGTTTGTTAGCTTATTTTGTTCATTAGATTCCACATATGAGTGAAATCATATGGTACTTGTCTTTCACTGACTGGCTTATTTCATGTAGCATAAGGCACCCCAATAAATTCAATAAAAAAATCATGATCTTCTGCTCAGTCTCCAGATGAGCTAATTTACAAATCCAGAAACCACTGACTGAACAGATGGCTGGGTCCTTAGAAGAAAGGACATCTTTAAATATCTTGAAGAGTATATAAAAAGGGGCCTCTGTATATCTGGGCATGTACACAGCCATATACTTGTGTATATATATAGTGCAAGAGGAATAAGTAGATGGTTTGGTTACTATTAGACACAGGGTCACAGATGTCACAGGTATCCAAGGACTAAAGTGTCATCATGACACTTGTAAGAATTGGGTGCCTTCCAGGGCTGGGTAACAAATTTTGGCAAATTCTGGCTCACAGCATGCCAACTGTGTCTATGGATGTACCTAGTGATAATTTACCTAGTTCTCAAGTGTATAATTAGAATTTATGTTCAAGTTCGTTACAATAGCCTGAACATCGCATCCCTGGCCTGTGCGGTAAGACCTATCATAGTGGCAACCTCTGAAACTACCGTCCTTCCGGTCAAGATGATAAATCAGAAACAGTCCATCACCCCAGTGGGCTAGTGAAAATTACTACCACCATTAACAATCTAAAAGATGCAGGGGTAATGGTCCCTACTACACTTCCATTTAATCTACCAGCCTTAAATTCCATTTAAAATAAATAATTCAGACTTATCAGATCCACACAGATTTACTTTTCTATTTTGTATACCAGAAAAAGGAATTTATTTTTAAAATAACTTCTTTTCATTTTCTAATTATTTACTATATGACATCACAGACTCTAACAACAAAACAACAACAACAAAGGTCACAATGAAATTCTTTAATTCTATATATGAAAGGACTGACACTCAGAGAAGCTAGGTGGCGTAGTGATGATAGCTAAGTGAAGATCAGAGCCAGGCTATGTCTATAAGTGATCTCCCTAACACTGGCCCAATCACATTTACCACCAGAGGCCAATGTGTAGAGTTAAAAAGCAGACAGAGTTTGTGAAGTAGCCTCCATTGAACCATGGCTGAACCAAAAAGCTGACACATTTACCTCTGCTACTTGAATAACTTAGTTAGAAAAGGAAATAGTAGTATTGGTGGCCTGACTGAGGATGCCCATAAATGCTGACCTGTTTGAAACTCTCTTTTAAAATTTATCAGGCCCTGGCCAGGTAGCTCAATTGGTTAGAGCATCATCCTCCTGAGATGCCAAGGTTGCAAGTTCAATCTGCAGTCAGGGAATTTGTAAGAATCAACCAATGAATGCACAAATAGTGGAACAACAAATCAATGTTTCTCTCCCCCCACCCTGCCCTTTCTTCCTCTCTCTCTCTCAAACCTTTAAAAAAATAAAAATAAATAAAATGTATCAGTGACCTTAAAGAAAAACAACATAAACTTCAAAATATTCTCTCCATGTTTTTCTTAACAATAAGACAATTTTAATACTAATTTACATTTCACTGCTGAAAGAGATTTAAATGACAAAAAAAGCCATCAAATACATTTTATCTCACCCAATGCCTAACATTTTTTTCCCTTTGTTCATGATGACAACATAATGAACAAGACCATCTCTAAGACATGGTACACATTAGCACTAACTTCCTTTTTATTTAATAAAAGAATTATCAAACTTAAAATGCACACAAATTCAAAAGCTTCAAATATAACCTTAAATGTTTAAATAGTTTACATATATATTCAGCATTGTGAATTTTCACACAGAGCTGAACTTTTTAGTATATATCCAACCACACCGCTCTGCACTAAAAACGGTTTTATTTTTGATGCATTAAATAAGGCTCATTTGATTTCAACTTCTAATACTTTCTAAAAACATATTATAATGTAATTAATAGCCTTAAAATCCATTTACATTCAGAATTACAAAGTCATAAAACATTAAATATATTTAAAATGCTTCCTCAAATTTCACTTTTAAGGGACAAATTTAAAGCATGAATTAAATTTGCACACACATTAGAGATATATATGTTCATAGCATTAAATTCTGGAAATTACAGCTTTTCTAGGGACACCGACAGACAAGATTGTTCTCAGAGGAAAGTGACCACCGCAGGAAAGGCACTGACAACAGAAAAGGATTAATAAGCAGGGAACGTGTAACTTTGAGAAAAGAGTGCAGAAAACTGAAGGGCTGTCAACAGAGATAAGAGATTAGGCTTTCTGTGTATGGGCCCATATGGGTAAATTAGAAGAGATACTATAGGGACCAGATTTCATCTCATTCAGAAGAAAACTTAGTTGCCCGAAGGTAGAAAGCGCTACCTCAGGAGACGGTGCATTTCCAGTCATTAAAGGCATTCGGGCACGGGCCAGTTCAGGAGGAGCTGGGCAGATTACATCCCAGGCAGGATCCTGCCCACTGGCTGTTTTTACAGTGAAGGTTTATTGGAACACAGCTACTCCCACTTGTTTCCATTTTAGCTGGGGCGCCTCTAGCAACAGAGACCACAGAGCCCACAGATCCTGAAATGTGTGCTACCTGGTCCTTCCCACAAAATGTGTGCTGACCTCTGTGGAGAAAGCATTAGAAATTCAAGTATTGTTTGGGTGTCTGGACCAGATAACCTGTGGGGGTTACTTTGGCATTCAGGAAAGTGCTTCGCCTGTCCTGTGTTGGGTTGTGAAGGTTCATGACCGCATAAGGCAATATGGCCGTCTTGGTGAGCGAAGGTCTAGGTTCCGACTGCACTCCGTTTGTGAAGCTGTGTGCTGTGATGTGGGACTAAGTCTGCCAAGAGAAGGGGGCACCTTTGTCTAATCTACACAAGGGCACCCAAGAGACCTTCATAAACTGTACACATCATAACAAAACTAACATCCCTGCCAATCCGGATGGTCTAAGGTTCCAACTCACTGAACCTCCGCTTCTTCTCCTAACCCAGCGTTTCTTTCTTTATAGCCCACGGAAATGAAACTAACTGTTACTGGACAAGAGTTTTCATGTTTTGAGAAATGCTTCCAACTCCACCTGCTCTTTTACAAAGATATACTGCAAATTAACATATTACAAATTCAAGGAAGTGATGTCAGTTAAAAACAAATTAAGGAGCCCTAGTTAACTTTAGTATACACATTTTCCAAAGTTGCTGCATTATGAAATGCTTTTTTGTAAGCCTATTAATATCTCAAACAACAACAGTCCTACGGAATGATGCTTTATTCAGTCATATTTAGTACTTTCAGATTATAAACTCTTTAAGAACATGAATACATTTGTTCTTATCCCCTATAGATTTTAGTATATTGCTAAGTACATATAATTTCCTAAGAAATCACTGAATTGATTTAATTCTAGAAGATGTGCCTAATCAATATGGTGAATGTACTATCATTTCATTAATTAAAGAAGACTTTAATTACTTATGTGACAGGGAAACACAAAGTTATCATTATTCCACTAAATCCATTAACAAACAGTACAACAGCAAAATAATCTTGCAAAAGTGTATTTCAAACGTTTCCTCTGCTCTGTGGTATATATTTAAGCATATAAAACTATTGAAGATATATATCAAAATGTATATGAATATTTATTCATGATATATATGATATACAAATATCATATATAACACTGTATGATGTTTTAAGATTAAAAATTTGATAAGTTATCTAACAGATTGACAGAACATATATCAAAATATAGGTTTAACGAATTCAAAGCCAATAAAAGCAAATTACCTGAAGAAGGTGACAAAAAACTGCACAAGATCCATGATTGTATTGTGTTGTGAAAATGCAATCTGAAAGATCAAAATAAAAGAAAGTTGGACACTTACTGAATCTATGTGGTAATACTTTAAGGCATTTGTAAGAATATTTTAAATGATCAAGGTAATTGGGTCACCATTTTATAAATCATTTATGTTGCACTCAAAATTTTATCTAGAACACCTAATATATTAACTACTAACGATAACATTTGCCTAGGTTCTAAAATTAAATGGTTTAAGAAACCTAAAAATTACTTCAAGCATGTATGTGAAGAGTTTCATGTGAAATCCTATGACATTAAAATGTGCCTAAAACATGCAAATGAGTTTCTTCATCTAATAATAATCACATGTTCTATTAATATAATGGATCCCTGCAAAATCAAGAGACCAATTAATGGTAAAATTTAGTAATATCCTCATTTGTCCCATGTTTTCCAAGAGCCCTCAAGTAATTGATAAAATGAATGTTAAAATACTGAGTTAGCTGAAAATAGAGCAACAGTGACAGTAATGTATTTTGTCCAATTGAGCTTAAATGCAGATCTACATTGAATACATGTGTAAAATCTAAAACAAAAAATTAAGATATGCTATATTTTATTATATAATAACAATCAACATTTTGAATTTATGATTCAACAAAAATATTTATAATACATGAATTTGGCTGGATAAATAGATTAATAGCTTAATATTTACCACAAATTATCAGAATTCTTATTCAGATATTTCTTATTCTTATTCTGAAGGACAAATTAGTGTGTTTGTGCAAATATCAGAATGCCATTAATAAATTCTGATATATTTGAGACAAATAAAAATGAAAATACAATGGAATGGGTTAAAATTATCAAGTTCACCTAACAAAGTAAACGAGAAGTTTTTCAAACCACTGTTTAGATTATAGTTCTGCAAAATGCTGATATACAAGCATACTTATATAGTGGAAGTTAAAACTGAAGTTAGTCAACGCAAAAACAATGGGCTATGTTTCAGGTAAGCAATTCAAGGTTGCATCAGGTTGTTATTATTTTTTAAAATAAATTAAATCAAATTGGAGATTAAGTTACCATTACTAGATGAGATCAACTATAATAATTTATCCCAATAAGCATAAATTTCCTCTCAATAATAACACATGGCTAAATGATATAATAATACATATCATTCCTGAAAGTAATATTTTTTAAAATGGGCTTAATGTAAATGGATAATTTTTAAAGATAAAATCCATTTCTAGATGAAAACATGAGGAATAAATATACTACCCAATCCTTTATAACACAAATTACAATGATTATAAATCCTTGAATATTGTCTATGAAAATTTAATGGGTTTAATTATTTTTAGAGCAAATAAATGCCTTAGCAAATGCACTCATAACTTTCCCCCTGGTTTAATGCAAAAACTTAACTGGTCTCCCTGCCTTCAATTTCACAACCCTCTGGTCACTCTTCACCAAGTTGACAAGATGCTTTCTTTGAAACTGGAAGAGGTTTCTGTAATTCCTGTCCACAGTCCATCCCCCTGCTTAAGTTCTCTCAGTGTTTTCCATCGCTTTTAGCCTGGACTCTAACTTCCTTGCCACAGCATAGAATGATCTTCAGATGTGGCCCTTGCTTCTTCCTCTACAGATAGCATTGACACTGCAGTCTGATCAGTTAACAGTTTTAGTCGTTTCCAATATTCGCCATTCATTATCACCGTCTGTTCTTGTTTAGCCGTAACTGTTCCTTCTTGCCCTAACATCTTCTCTTGGGGAATTTCAGTCCAAATGATTCATTGCCTGGCATTTCAACTCTAGATCCTGTCTGTTTAGGGACCTCAATTGCTATCACATACTTCTACAACATTAGTACTATTTAAAAAGAAATCCTCTAACATTCATAAAGTATTTACTATTGCCCAGGCATTGAGCTAAGTGCTTTTCATATACTAACTTACTTAACCAGCAAAATAACCACGTAAAATAAATAATACCATTAAATCCATTTTATAGATGAGGAAATAAAGGTTTATAGGTTACCCCCACAATAAGCAGTAGAGCTAACATGGAAATCAGTGCGTTATGATCCCAGTTCTTATGTTGTACACTTTCCTAAGATCTGCATACTGTTTATCAGTATACTGTGATAATTAGCATATTTTTCTTTTCTGTCCATTTGACTTCAAGATATTTGAAATCAGGCATTACGATGTTCAGTTATACATTCCTAGCAACCAGCAAAGAACCTAGCATTTTGACTTATAAGTGTTTAGTAAATAAAATGCAGTAACTTTTAGAGATATATATCTCAATGTTCTAAATAAAAAGGCTTCACAAAACAGTTTTATTTTAACTAAAGGTCAAGCTGTACAAGAAAACAAGAATTACTTTTATATCAAGATTATGTCAGTTAAAATAGGTAAAACCTTATGTTCAGAGAGTATATTACTTGAAGTTAAAGGATATTATTTTTTCAAAAATATTTTTGCTTGAAGCTAAAGGATATTATTTTTCAAAATATTTTTCAAAAAACATTTGTAAATACTAAAAAATAAAACAGACCCTTTAAAATGACATGGTAAACATCTGCATTTGCAATGCTACCTGTTCTTAATTATAGTATTAGCATATTTACGAGGTTTTGTGAAGAGCCTCAAGTTTTAATTCATCAATCAAGAACATATAAAAGCAAGAGTAATGCCTAAAATAAAAATCTATATACCATTTATGCTTATAAAATCATTTTTTAGAAATTTTGATTTGCAATACAGATTATAAGTATAAAAAGTTAAAGTTTTAGTTGAAGAGGATGTTTGGGAAAATGGGAAAAAACAAAAAGAAATAGTTGATTAAGTCCAAGTAAAAATTTTTAATGGATATAATTTAAGTATGCCAATAGTAACATGAAGCTAGATTTACAAAAATGAGCTTAAGGAGATACATACTGATTTATCTCCAATATATTTTCTACATATACATTCACATATACATAATAAATAATTTAAACATACTTTAATTTTATTTTTTGTTTCAATGGGTTTTACTTTAAGAACTTTAATGTCTCAAAGGCAATAAACTTCCAGTCAAGACGGAGGCATAGGCAGACTGCTTTACCTCCCTTGTACAACCATAAGAGGGATTACAACTAATCTCAAAACAAAAAACACCCAGAGCTGCCAGAAAATAGAACTGTATGAAAGTCTAACAACCAAGGATTTAAAGAAGACATTCATCCAGACGGGTAGGAGGGGCAGAGATGGGGAGCCAGGGCAAAGAGGATGTTATGTGGCTGCAGTGAGCGGGTAGCAGTGGTGGCAGCTGGCAGATGGGCAGTTCCACATTGAGGACACCTGGGGAGCAAGCCCCAGGCCAGACTGCACAGTCCAGGTTCTAGCGCTGGGAATATAAAGCCTCATAAACTCCTGGCTGTAAAAAACAGTGAGGGTTGGGGTGGCAGAAGAAACCCCCGGACTCACAGGAGAGTCCCTTTAAAGGGCCCACAGGGTCCTAGAATGTACACAAACCCACCCACTCTTTAAATCATCACCAGGACAACAGCTACAGGGGCAACAGTCACATAAGTGACTAGAAGCAGGGCAAGTGCTAAACAAGCTTCCAGCAGTCAGGCAGTGGCTTTGCTCCCTCTTTAATCCCTTCCCAACATACAAAGCCACAAAGAGGTGAAGCGGGCTGCTTCCCTGCCCTGGAGATTACCTAAAGCTCCACCCCATACAGTGTAACAGGTATGCCAAGACATGGAGTCAAAGCAGCTCTACCTAATACACAGAAAAAAAACAAAACACAAGGAGGCTGCCAAGAAGGAAACAAAGAAATATGGCTCAATTGAAAGAACAGAACAACACCCCAGTAAAAGAACTAAGTGAAATGGAGATAGTCAACTTATCAGATGCAGAGTTTAAAACACTGGTGATCAGGATGCTTAGAGAGCTCATTGAGTATGGAAAAAGATAGGGGAAGAAATGAAGGCTACACTAAGTGGTATAAAGAAAAATCCACAGGGAATTAACACTGAAGGGAAGGAAGCTGGGGTTCAGATCAATGAACTGGAACATGAGGAAGGAAAAAACAGTCAACAAGAACAGTACAAAGAAACAAGAATTCACAAAAAATGAGAAGAGAATAAGAAAACTCTGGGACATCTCCAAAAATGCCAACATGTGAATCATAGGGATGCCCGAAAAAGAGAAAGAGCAAGAAATTGAAAGCTTATTTGAAAAAACAATGAAAGAAAGCCTCCCGAATTTGGTGAAGGAAATAGACATACCAGTCCAGGAAGCACAGAGAGTCCCAAATAAGTTGGACTCAAAGAGGACCACACCAAGACACATCATAATTTAACTGCCAAAGGTTAAAGATAAAGAGAGAATCTTAAAAGCAGCAAGAATCTTAAAAGCAGAGAGTTACCTACAAAGGAGTTCCCATAAGACTATCAGCTGATTTCTCAAAAGAAACCTACAGGCAAAAAGGGCCTGGAAAGAAGTATTCAAAGTCATGAAAGGCAAGGACTTACAACCAAATTACTCTATCCAGCAAAGCTGGATATCATTTAGAAAGAAAGGGCAGATAAAGGGCTTCCTAATCAAGATAAAGGTAAAGGAGTTCATCATCACCAAGCCCTTATTATAGGCAGTGTTAAAGGGACTTATTTAAGAAAAAGAAGATCAAAACTATGAAGAGTAAAATGACAATAAATTCACAACTATCAACAAGTGAATCTAAAAAACAAAAACAAACAAAGTAAACAAGCAGAACAGGAATAGAATTATAGGTATGCAGACTATTTGGAGGGTTAGCAGTAGGGAGGGGGAAAGGAGACTGGGGAAAGGTCAGGGAATAAGAAGCATAATTGGTAGGTACAAAATAGACAGGGGGATGTTATAAACAGTATAGGGAATAGAGAAGTCAAAGAGCTTATATGTGCTACCCATGAACATGAACTAAGGGGGGAATTGCTGGAGGGAAGTGGGGTACCAGGCAGAGGTGGGTAAAGGGGGAAAATTGGGACAACTGTAATAGTAC